TGGTCAAATTAAAAATAAATAAATAAAGTTAAATAAAATCATTCTTAAAAAAAAAAAAAAAAAAGAACGTACAAGATAGAGAACAGCAGATGGTGCAGGGGTTACATCACTAGATTTCCACATGGCTAACCACAGTTTGAGTCCTGGACCCAGAGGTTTAAAACTCATGCCAGGTGCATGCGCATGTATACCTAAAATCCCAAGAGGAGAATGGAGAAGAGACTGCGTCATGGCCAACCCCAAGGGGTGATTTCTCACTTTCTGTCTCTTCGTGCAAACACATGCACGTTATGGTAAAAAAACAAAAAAAAAAAACAACTCTCTTTAAAAAGAGTATACAGCACAGTGGCTTCTATTTCAACATAATGAAAACGTAAATCACATGTCAAGGAAGAGAATAACAGAATCTTAAAAAGAAAGTAAAGTATGATACTTTTACAGACACCTTTTTCCTCTTTGAAAGTTTGAAAATTTTAACACAACAACAAAAAAGGAGCGGGGATGGACCAGCAGTTAGCGTAATGACTATGTCACTGGACTCCAATGTGGCCGACTGCAGTTCAAGTCCCGGATCCGGTAGCTTAAACTCATGCTGGGCACATGTGCGTGTGTGCCCAAGATCCTGAGAGGAAAATGGAGGAGGAGGGATTGTGGCATGGCCATCCCCCCTGGGGGATGATTTCTCACTTTCTGTCTCTCTGTCTGTCTGGCGAACACACGCACTCTATAGCAAAAACCTCTCCAAAAAAAAAGGAGCAGGGAGTAACAAATATTAATATCTATCGTGTAGGTTGGTTTTGGCCATAGTGGTTGTAAAAACCCTTCTTTTCTCATGTTTAAAATTCAAATGAAGAGACTCGAGTCTGAGAACTCAGAATGCACAGAGTTGTTTAAAAAATGCTAACCTAAATTTTAAAACTTTGTTTTCACTAGTATCAAATGTTTGCTACATAAAACTGTTAAAGAAATGTTCACTGTAACCAATAGTCAAAGTCATTTCGGACAACCACTATCTTTTAATACTATCCTACCTAAAAGAGCCAACTTATAAAGCATATATTTTTTTAAATCCTTCAAAAGTGACCAGGTTTTTAATTAATAGGTCATTAACAGTTCAGCATCTAACTTCTTTCTGTGCTTACTGAAACAAAACAACTTCGACTTACATTGTGAAAAAGCAGACTTCATTTAGATATTCCGGGATTTTTATTTCCTCTCCCCTATTTCAAAATGACAAACTTCTAGACTAAAGCTCCAAGTTTGGAAGGAGTGCATACAGAGTGCTGGAGCAACTTAATGTCCGTGTACAGGAGACCTTAGGCTCCGCGTGACAGCCAGGGCTCATCAACGTCACTGATGGAGGGGAAGATAAAGAGATGCATCCCACTCCTGCCCAGGCCCTCTCCCTGTCCTCACTTCATGTAGAACTCTTCCAATTTTACCTCTGAAAGGCTGAAATTTTGCCTATCAGTTCATTAAAAATAAATTTCACTGCTATAAAAAGAAAAGTTGGGAAGAGAGTGGCATCAGCAGCGAGAGAAGCTGTACCACTGCCTGACTTCACAGGGCTGAGCTAGTAATCAAGTTCGAAAGTGCCGGCCAGTCTTGGCAGCACAGTGGTCATGAAATAATCCGTGATGCTACGGTCACATGGGAAAGTCCCGGGTCCATGTCCTGAGGTCACGTGTACCTGTGATCTTGGCTAACTGGGGCTACGGGTGGATCACAGCATGAAGACCCTGCTGCGAGTACCCCAGACCACTAGCTCCTTCTCAGAGAAGAAATAAAAATTTAAAACTTAAAAAAAAAGTTTCAAATACAGGGCTTTTCAGTCCAGTTAAATGCTGTTTTCCTAATATATGACGTCAGCTACAAAGAAAACAGTGAATGTGTTATTTATAGGATAAGAACAAAACTGTTTCCTTCACCAAAAGAATAAAAGAGCTCTTTCTAAAATACAAAAATGTCCTTTATACACACAACATGCCACATTACTTACAGGAGGCAGAGAGACCTGCCCGGTGACTTCCGGTGGGCGCATGCTCACGGCGTCTTCTCCAGGCCCCTCAGGCTCCCCGGAAGGGTATGGCGGGGGTGGGTACGGGGGATACTCCTCCAGATACACTTCCAGCAGGTGGGGTGCCTCTGGATTTGGTTCTTCTGCGTTATTCTGGAGATTTGGGCTATTGTCTGGGACTCCTTCAGGTACAAAATCAAGGCTAGGAGAATGAGCTGGCATGTCACTGTTCTCTGTATGGGCACCCCCCACATCCTCTGGGGACGATGGCTCAGGAGCCATGGAGATCACCTCCTTCTCTGGTTCCACATGTAAATATGGATTCTGGATTTCTGTTGGGCTGTCTGAGCTGGCAGTCACTGTAGTTGACTTAGATGGATATGATGGGACAGAGATGGTCTCCATGGCGGCTAGGGTGGTCCTCTGATACAGAAGTTTCTGAATATTTGGCCCATTAGGCCCCTCTGGCTCTGTAATAGAGCTGCGTTTCTTTAGTGGTCTTGGTGCATTAGACAGTTTCTTTCGCAGGGCTTCTAAGTCAGCATCACTCTGATTTCGGTAAGGGTTAGATAAGAAAGGCAGTAATTTGGTTGGGCTCAGTGGTCGAGGAATTCTTTCATTTTCATGGTTCTCCTGAGCTGAAGATACAGGTTCTGTTTCAGGTTCTGGACTACCAGGCTTGCCTGGGCTATTAGAATAAACATTTTCAGGGTGCTGTTGATTTTGTGCAGTAGCAATCACAGGCTTGCCATACACTAATTGGAAAAGCAAAAAAAGGAAAGCTTTCGTAAGTGTTAATTAAACAAAACTTGTAAGTAACCAAAATATGAATATCTAACAATAACTAAAGTCATTTTTAATTTCATAGTTACTACACAATGCCTTTTTTTAAACAAAAAAAATATTATTTATTTATCCATTTATTTGTGGTGATTTCCGAGCTGCCAGGTCCAAGCCATGTCAGAATCTGGCATCTTTACCACCGTCCCACCTTCTGGCCCAATGCTTCTCAAATGTAAATAATTTTTTAAAACAACTGAACACATGACAGAGCAAGGGTTCCATCTTCGTATAACAAACTTATAGAATAAAAACTCCTACTGATTCTAACATGCACCATTATTTTACGAAATAGCAGGAAATGTTACCAGTGATAAGAAATCACTGACGGTAGTATCCATTGAACTAATGTAAAAATGTGAACAAAGTTTAAAACCAATGAAAATTGGTAATCTTCTCATGTGTCCAGATTAAAACCTGACATGTATCCTCCCGTCTTCCACAGGTTCCCAAAGTGAATCAATGTTAGAAACCACACTTGGCTTCAAAAATTAAGAACAATTTATATGTATCAAAGCTATTCTCCCTTAACATTCTGACAATATCAAAATTATCTAATCCCCACATTCTCATTTTAGCAGTTCTCACCAAAGACCGATGAAAAGAAAGAATAAGAGTAAGCAGCAGCACATGTTGGTTTTTTGATCAGCTCCACTCTGACATCTAAGCCACAATTACATGCTTTTTTCATGATTACAAAGTCATTTCATTGAATCAAAACATATTCAATTTTATTTTGGTCCTATAAACTAGCAAACAGTTTAGAAAGAGCCCCACAAATTTCCAGATTGCATATGTTTAACACTAACTAATCCTATGTTTTTTCATTTAACTGGGGGTTGCATCTTCATTAAAGTAACTTAAATACAGTATAGAATGTAATTTATTCTTTTCTTCTTTTTTTTTTTTTAAAAAAAAGGACATGTAGACAGGAGCAGTTGTCAGCCCTTTTTATGCTGAGAGCATCTAATTAAACCCACAGTGAAGGCACAGCCCTCTGGTTCTAACAGTCTGGGTACGTTTGTTTCCCACTCTCCAAGGAGCTCCATCAGAACTGAGACCACACTTCATTCATCTATGGTCTTTGGTGACATTTAGCAGGTACTCTTTTTTTTTTTTTGAGAGAGAGATTTTTTCGCTATAGGGCGCATGCGCTCGCCAGACAGACAGAGAGAGACATAGAGACAGAAAGCGAGAAATCACCCCCCAGGGGGGATGGTCACGCCGCAATCCCTTCTCCTCCATTCTCCTCTCGGGATCTTGGGCATACACGCACACGCGCCCGGTGTGAGTTTTAAGCCGCCGGGTCCGGGACGCGAACCGCAGTCGACTACGTGGGAGTCCAGCGACATAGCCATTACGCTAACTGCTGGTTCCATAGCAGGTACTCTTTTAAACTCCCAATTAAAAACAGAGGCGGCAACTAAACAACACTCTTAAAACAACAGCATTAGTTGAAACTGGAGTTAGGTATTTTGCTGTTTGCTGACAGATGGCAACTCTGTAGGACTCAAACACATCATCTACTCAAGTGAAGACAAGATCAAGGACTTACCACTTGAAAAATGCGGGCCTCTGGTATGTGTCTTGGTCAGTGCACTCTGTACAGCCTGCTGGAAGTTTTTTCCTGGAGCCTGATGCTGTGTGTACATGGAATATATGGAGCTTGCTGCCACAGTCTGGGGTTTCCTGAACGGTGGAAGGAGGGTGTCTTTGGAAGGCTGAGGAGTAAAGGGCCGGACGGCGACGGCAGGTGGACTCTCTTGCTTAGAGCCTGGAGAAAGGGTTTGGTCTTGGCCAGCTAAAGGTACGCTGGGAGACAGCAGCACCCTCGGCGGCTGCCCTGTTGCTTTGGGTATATTTCCTGTGGACGGAGCAGCTGCTGACAATTGCTGCGGATTTCCATCTGGCTTCATGTCTGAAGGTGACTGATTAGTTTGTCCAAAATAAGGCAGATTAATCTGTTTGGGTTTTGTAGGAACAGGAGGTGGTACTTTAGTCACGTTTTTATTTGTGGCCTGTAAGTGCACAAACAGCCAGTTAAAATATACTGTGTAACAAGATGTTTCACATAACCCAACATCACAAATGTCACTATAAAAATATTAGCTCTACATTTTGAACTTGTTACCAAGTTGTAAATCTCTATATTGAATCATATTTAATGAGGGACCTCAGTAATGCAATACAAGTCCTCCTCATGTGACCTCCTTGTTTCCACCTGCTATTTGGGCAACTCTGAGTGCCCACTTGAAACTTTTAACTGAAACATCTTTCAGGTTCACAGATGATACCAATAAATGAAAACCATTCTTGTTCATTGTAACTTCATGCAACCTAACTGGGACCATTCTACCATAACCTGGTTATTGAAAGTGAAGATCCTAAAGGTTACAGGAGATTTGCTATCAAGTTGTCTGACATAAACTTAACTCCAGATTTTGAAGAAATAAGATACCTGAACAGCACAAATATGACGTTCCCCAACATACTTGCACATTTTAGAGAATCACATAAAATATGACCAGAAACAATGATGCCAGCCATACCCAAAATGGTGTGACAGCACACACACACTCAAACAAGAGAAATTAACTGAATGCTGTTAGATTTTAAAATCTTCCAAATATATTGTGTTTCTTTGCTCTTTCTCTTATAACACTCTTAATCTTTTCTAAAAATTGCATTATAGAATTACCATTAAATTTTATTTCTTTTTTCAAGAGAGATTTTTGCTATAGGGCACATGCACTCTCTAGAAAGACAAGAGAGAAACAGAGAGATAGAAAGCTAGCTATTATCCTCTGGGGCAATGGCCATGCCACAATCCCTTCTCCTCCATTCTCCTCTCAGGAACGTACACACATGCACCTGGAGTGAGGGTTAAGCCACTGGGTCCAGGACTCAAACCACAGTCGACTACGTGGGAGACCAGTGACATAACCATTCCATCA